TTTTTAAACGAGATTTAGAATGAAAAATAGATTTTATTACAATAATATAAAAAATGAATTTTAGTTATTTTTCTATAATTTTTTTGCAATTTTAAATATGATATGGAATATTAGTTTTAAAATAAAAAATTAATATGACGTGGAATATCTTAGTTGGCAAAAGATTTGGATGATATCAACATTAACAGGTTAACAGGTCCACCAGACCCTTAAATAAACAAAAAGTTTGATAGAGACCCTTAATGACAATTTTGAAATTGGTTTTGGTTCCATTTTGGTGCAATTTTCCCTTATTTTTATTTCAAAGGAAGCGAAGGATTTCTATTTTAATTTGTCTTAAAATAAGTGTATTTTTAAAAGGAAGAGGTTGTTTACCAAAATTTATAGATAAGTGTCGATTGTGGTAAGAGGTTTGATTGGAATAAATGATTTAACTGGGATTAATACTGACCGAAAATTGTTGGTTACTAAATATTTTGTATTAGGTATTGATTGAAAGAAAAAGACAAGTATACCCTTTGTTTACTAAATATTTTATATATTTTTAAATGGACAAAATGCACAAAATAGCAATCTACTTTCATAAATTTCTTTATTATAGCATTGTACTTTCAGTTTTTCTTATTACAGCAATGTACTTTCAAACTAGTTTTTATTAGAACATTGTATTTTGAAAAATTTACCCATTATAGCATTAGGTAACCTTTTGTTTTAAATTTACTCATTATACTAGGTTTCCATGCCACCTCATTTTCCACGTAGGCTGTCCACATGTACTATAGTGATGTGACTTTCTTACTACATCATTGTACCTTCAAAATTATTTTATTATAGCATCTACTAGTTCTTATTAAACATTGTATTTTTTATTTTAATATTTAGATATTTTACATGTTATTTAATAAATGTATTAAATGAATTAACAAAATTCTAAATTATTCATTAATATACCAATATCAATAAAACTAGTAGAACACAACTTATCTCGCTAACATTTTTAAAATATGTGTTTTTTGAAAAAAGAAAAATAAGAATTGTTCATTTTTTTACCAAAAAATATTATCTTTTAAATAATATATTATATTTATTCAAAAACTTTTTACTTGACGTATAAATATATTAAATTAATTAGACTTTTTTGAATTATTTATTAATATCACAATATTAAAAAAATGTAGATAACAATTTATGTCGTTAATATTTTAAAGAGAACTTTAAAAGATATGTATTTATTTGAACAACATAAAATAGGAAAAGTTACCTTTTTTACAAACAAAATATATCTCGAAAATGGTGTTTCATATTTATTTAATAAATATTTTACTCAAAAAATATTTAATTTGAATGCAACTTAATAAGAAAAAGTAAAAAAAATTAAATGTTTTTTTAGATCATAGCAATGAAAAATGAAAATCACTAATAATAATTTGAAATAAGTTTTTATTTTAATTTTAGTTAAGTCATCAAGATGAAGTGGCATCCACGTCACCACATTAAAGCCACACAAGCAAAAAAATCAAAGGGTTAACCGGTTCAAAAGGTAACAAGTTACTCATTGTTATTATGGGTAGATTTTTTAAAGTACAATGCCTTAATAGAAAATAATTTGAAAGTACATTGTTGTAATAAAGAAAAACAAAAGTATAATGCTATAATAAGAAATTTTATGAAAGTAAGTTGCTATTTCATGCATTTAACCCTTTTTAAATTTATCAAAGTATATTAATAATTGAAGATGGATGTTCATTTAGGAATACTAAAATTTATAGGAATGTATATTAATCATGATGAATGTTGTAACAGACATTCATGATAAATAGTATTCATCATAAATATTCATAAAATAGGTTGTTCCTTCATTCCTAAAATATTTATCGTCCCTAAATATATTTGTCTATAATAAAAATATTTTATCATTTAATTTTTAAATTTAAAGCAATTAACAATTTTATTTTTCTTTCCGTGCTCCATCAAATGATAATTCACCATCCCCAATAAATACTTCTTCTTTTCTTTTAGTTGGACCCATCATCTTCACCCTCTTCATCTCTCACCTTGTGACTCGTCGTACCTTTTCTTAAAAATTGTTTCTTCCAATAACATCATATTCCATCTTTTGTTTTGATGATCTTGACCTTTTCGACAATGCTAAGCATTTTTCTTCTTTTTTCTTCGATTCGTTGAGGTGCAGAAGTAGATGAAATTGTCTTACATTTAAAAAGAAAAGATGGGTCAGGGTGGACTTGAGAGAGAGAGAGAAAACATGGAAATATCAATGTTGACTGTGGTGATTATTACTCTCATCTCTTATTCTAATCAGATGTACGGCAAGCACTAAATTTGGATAAGATGTCGTTTTGTTTTGATAAATATATCAGCTCTTACCTCGATAAGTGAGTAAATACAACCTAAGTATTTGTTTTTCATTCTACCTTTAATTATGATATGAACGGTAAAATTGTCCCTAAGGTCATTAAAAAATATAATAATTACACATTTCTAAAATTATGTGGATTTTTCATTATAGAACAGATATTTTGAGATTGGATGAAGTATTTTAAATTTTATATTTATTTAAGTGGTACTCCTCATCCTCCTAGGTTATGACTAAAGTTAAATTGTCACAAAATAAATAAAAAAAGGCATCAGTATTTTGCAAACATTCGTAATAGAAAACTTAGGCTTGTTTGTTTTTTTGAAAAAAAACCACTTAAGACCTCTTAAGTTTGAATCGTAAGACTTTTTTTGTTTTCAGACCATTTGTTTTTTTTAATATAAGAGTTGAAAAGCTCTTATTTTACTCTGAACATGGCGTCAAAAGAAGACATCAAAGATTATCACTCTGAAAAGCTCTTATTTTAATATCAGAATTTTCAAATTTTGTGCTCAACATGCGAAATGGGAAAGATGACAAGAAGTTCCCATAAAGCAAAGATTGAGTCTTCATGCAAATCTCCGCTAGAAATAATTCATATGGATTTGTGTGGGCCTATGCATACTCAATCTATGGGAGGCAAAAAGTATATATTGGTAATGCTCAATGAATATTTTAGATATACATGGTTAGAATTTCGGAAAGCCAAGTCTGATGCGCCTGAGCTGATAATTGCATTCATCAAACGTATTCAAGTTCTTCTACAACTTCCTGTGCAGAAAATCAGAAATGACAATGACATTGAAGTCAAGAATGAGACCCTTCAGAATTTTCTACATTCAGTTGGGATTTTTCATCTGTTCGAACTCCGCAACAAAATAGAGTTGTTGAAAAGAGAAACTGGACTTTGGTAGAAGCAGCTTGAACAATGCTTGCTTACTATGGGCTTTGAACCTGTTTCAACTGCTTCCTTCACATAAAACTGAACGATCATTGTCAAACGTTTAAATAAAACTGCTTATGAGATTATAAATCAACGTAAGCCTAATGTGAAATTCTTTCATGTATTTGGTTGCAGATGTTTCATTCTAAATGATAGAGACAATCTTGAAAAGTTTGATAAGAAAGCGGATGAAGGTTACTTTCTCAGATATTCTATCATGTCAAAAGCCTTTAGAATCTACATCAAACGCACCAATATTGTAGTTGAAAGCATCAGCGTTCGATTTGATGAATCATCGACTTCTGGACAACATAGTTTAGGACTCAACCTACAACATTCAGCTTCTATACAAGCCAGTGTGGAACCTATACTAGAAAACAGGACAATGAATTCTGATTCTTCTATGAAATCAAATTTAAATTCATTGTTTCAAGACACATTTGACTTAACTTTGGATGTGTATGCAAAATTTGAAAATTCATATGCATCTAACGTTAACAATTCAATGGTTCTGATTCCGCAAGTTACTCAACTTTCTGGACCATCTGAAGCTGGTTTTTCAACATCAACTGATGTTTAACTTGAAGTTGTTAAACCCGAAGTTACTCAAACTGTTCAAGCTAAAGCATTGACTCAATCTAAAATTGCTCAACCTGCTGAAGTTGTTCAATCTGAGTCTTTTCAACTTGAAGTTGATGCTAAATATTTAAAAATTCAAGTTGTAACTAATGAGTATGATGATCAGAATAATCAAACTGGTGTACAATCTTGTACACACAAATGGACAAGAAATCATCCCCTGACTCAAATTACTATAGATGTAAGCTCCAAAGTGCAAACACGATCTGCAACCGCAAACGAGTGTCTATGCGTATAACACCCA